GGCAGGCACAAGGCCTTCTATTTCTGGCTTTGGGATGGTGGCATAAGGCAGGACACGGACAGAACTGGCACCCAGAGGGTTCTGGGCTTGCTAAATTCTTATGCTTAGAGCGGGATGGGGCACAGACTTGGGAACAGGACCATGGGGAGGACCCTGGGGTGGGGAAGGCATGACCTGGGTCCTAGGTCTGGACATTATACCCCATTCTCCCTTGCCTCCCCCCGCCCCCCGTTTCACCACCCTGGCCCTGGGGGACTGCACTTTGCATGTTGTGATAACTCAGCCTCCTCTCCTTAGAAGTGAGAAGCAGCGATGGATCTCTGCCATGTGCCCCTCCAGCCCCCAGGAGGATAAGGAGGTCATCAACGAGGGGGAAGGTAGAAGCCTGCCAACCTCCCCCACCCCAGGCCCACATCCCCAGGGCTGGGTACCTCATTGCTCTCTCCCTTCCCTCAAATCCTGGGTACCATGTGGCCGGTGGGGCTACAGAGGATGGTAGGAGAGAGGGATCAGGAGAGATCAACTGGCCTGGGGCACTTGGGGGCAGCTCCACATAACCTTGACAGATGGGCAGGAATTACCTAGGACAGGCTGGCCTCCATGTGCGCAGGTAGCTCCTTGGAGGCGACAAAGCTTTTATATCCTCCCATTTCATTCCCACAGAAGCCCATTTTAGAAAGCAGAGATTCAGGCAGGTAAAGTGACTTGTCCAAGTTCACCTAATTAGTAAGTGGCAGAGCTGGGACTGGACCCCAGCTGGGACTGGAATCTATCCTTGCATTATTTGCAAAAGGACAGGAACCAAAATGGCCAGGGCGTGTGGGGAGGTGGTGGTGGTGGCAGAGGGAGGGATTTGCTACGTTATATATAGTAGGCTTTTGGGGGGTGTGTGAAATGAGGCTGGAAAGCCAGGGTGCAGCTCAATCACAGAGGACCTCGATATAGGGTACTAGGTAGCTATCGAAGGTTTTGAGCAGGGGAGTTAGGGCTGAGCCAAAGAAGGAGAAAGAAGGGAATTCTTTTCTACCTAGTCCCTGCCATGTGTCAGGCCTGCTGCTAGAGTCCTTATAAATGCGTTTATTTTACTTCATCTTCATGAAAACCCTATTAGATAGACTCATTTTTCATGGGAACGAACTGAAGCTCAGAAATGTTAAGTAACTTGCCCAAGGTCACACAGCCAATAGGTGGCAGAGCTGAGATTCAAGCCAGGTCGTGGTAGAAAGACTTGAAGGCCTAGACGGGACAGATTCTCTGGCTTCAGCCAGGAGTCCTGTTTAGGTTTTGTGGGGAGCTTTCCATTTCGAAGAGGTGGTCAGGGAAGGGCCCGAAGGATGAGGAGGAACAGTCATGAAAAAGTTCTGGGTACTTCCAGGGGTCAGAACAGCCAGTGCCCAGGCCCTGAAGCGGGAGGAAGCTTAGAGTGTTTGAGGGGGCCAGTGTGGCTGAGCTTCATGAGTAAGGGGGAGAGAGGAGGAATTCGGGAGGAGAGGAGGTTAGCAAGGGGCAATGCTGGACCACGCAGGACTTTGTAGGCTGTGGGGAGGACTTCAGATTTTATTCTAAGAGGAGCAGGAAGCCCTGGAGGGTTGTAGATGGGGGAGTGATATGGCTTGAATCCCAGTTGAGAAGGATGGACTGAAGGGAGCACCAGAGAGGCATTGGGGGGTATCCGAAGTGGCCATTACTGTCTTGTGGGGGGTGTCCGGGGGCAGTTGGCCCTTGGCCTAGAGGTCAAGGGCAAGGTGTTGGATTGAGCTGGAATGGTAAGATATGAAGAGTGGCCACGGCGGGCTAGGGAGGGGCGGTGGAGGGGGGGGGAAAGAAGCAGCAGCGGCTGCCCTCCCATCCTCTTACTTCCTCCCGCTGCCCCTCCCTGCCCCCTACCTGCATCGTCATGCTGTGGGGACTCCCTCACTCTCCCTCGGGCTGTCAGACCGCCCCCAGGTTCAGTGTGTCAGGACATACAAGGCATTGCAGCCAGACGAGCTGACCTTGGAGAAGACTGACATCCTGGCAGTGAGGACCCGGACCAGTGACGGTGAGAGGAGCCTCCTGGGAAGGCCTCTCTATGGGGCTTTGTGTGGGCAGGAGGTAGCTGGATGTCTGAGACATCGCAGGGAAAGGTTACGCAAGTGTCGATCAACCGCGGCATACAGGAATCGAGTTAGACAAGAGGAGGAACTTCCTGCTTGTAAAGATGTAGGATTGAGAGTGACTGATGGGAGAGTGGGAAGTACTCTCCTTCAAGGATGTCAGGAAAAACAGGCCAGAGGTTCATCTACAAGACAGCTAGAGGCAGGATCCTTCCTGGAGCCGGGAGAGCTGAGATGATGTCACCTTGGCCCCAGGGGTGCAGACAAGGCTTGTATCAGGGCCTAGGAGTTCCCTTGCAGACCTGGCCCTAGTGTCCCTCTGATGCCACTGATGCTGCCCCTGGCCTGTGTGTTCCCCTAGGCTGGCTAGAGGGGGTCCGCCTGGCAGATGGCGAGAAGGGATGGGTGCCCCGGGCCTACGTGGAAGAGATCGGCAGCCTCAGCGCCCGCCTCCGAAACCTCCGGGAGAATAAGCGGATCACCAGTGCCACCAGCAAACTGGGGGAGCCCCCTGCGTGACGGGCAACCATGGCCTGGGACACCAGCTCCATACCCGGCTCCCAGACAGCTCCGGAGGGGGCCTGCAGTGTCTCCCTGCCCGAAGCAGCTGCTGCTGGGACTATTGCTCTGTGGCCGGGCATCAGCAGTACAGCCTGTTCTCATGTTCCTCAGTGTCCACTCTTCAGGGCTAAGGACAGTTTCTTCCTCTGGTATTTGGGCCACCCCTAGGTGACCTCTGATATCTGGCAAGGACGGGGCCCTCTCTCTTCCATGCCCTTGACCCTGCCTGACTCTTGGTCCCTAGGGGCCTGGCTGGGAAAGGCTCTGGGATTAATGGGCGCTGGGACCTGTATGTATCTGGGATCTTCTGGCCAGAGCCTGTGTGTTCCCTGGTTGTTGTGACTTCTCTGTCAATAAACTCCCATAATGCCTTTGCTTGGAGTCTGTGAGCCATCTGATGCTTCTCCCACTCCAGCCCCATTTCCCCAGCTAAAGATCAGGAGGGTCTCTGGCTGCTTCTCAGTAAGGATTTGCCCTCTGTAGACTTGCCTCGCTAACCAGAGGAGGGTGAGACAGGGGCTGTGTATTAGTTGGATTTCTTTGAGTTGCAGTTAACAAAATAGCAGATTCGAATAGGCTTAAATATTAAAGAGAATTTATTAGTTCTTGTATTTGTTTCTTATAGCTTGTGTAATAAATTCTGTTAAAACAACAGAAATTTATTCTTTCAGAGTTCTGGAGGCCAAAAGTCTGAAATCAGTATCACTGAGCCATAATCCAGGTGTCCGGAGGTCCATACTCCATCCTGCAGCGGAGATGTGCTCTAGGGGAGAATTTTCCTGGCCTCTTCCAGCTCCTGGCTGCTACCAGCCTTTCTCGGCTGGCAGTGGCCTCACTCCAGTCACTGCCTCTGTGGTCACATTGCCTTCTCTGTGCGTCTGTGTCAATTCTTCCTCTGCCTCCCCCTTATAAGGATCCATGTGATTACATTCAGGACTCACCCAGATAATCTCCCCATCTCATAATTCTTAACTTAAATCCCATTTACAAAGACCCACCCATTTTTTTGTCACAGGTTTTTTTGTTTTTGTTTTTTTTTGTTATAGGTAGTGAAATGTACATGTCTATTTGGGGACCATTTCTCAGTCTATCATAGTTCTCGTAATTGAGAAGTACAGAGGCAGGGTGGGCTTCAGGCAAGGCTTGATCTTGTGGCTCATTGCTGCCACTGAGGACCCAGCTCTTTACATTTCTCTACTCTGTTGTCCTTGGCATTAACTTTATCCTAAGGCTCCAAGAGGCTTCTTCATTCACATCCAACATGGAAGAAGAAAATTGTCTTTGTCTCAGCATTCTCGAAGTCTGATTGGACCAGCTTGGGTCACATGGCTACCTCTGGGCTGATCATGGTGGCCAGGGTATGGCGTGTGCTGATAGACCTAGCTTAGGTCATGTGCTCTATCCCTGGAGCCAGGTTGGGGAGTTGTCTTCCCAGAAACCCCATGGGTCCCCAAGTGGAATTGGCGACTAATGCAAAGGAGAGTAAATACTGGGGAAGACAATTCGTTGAAATCCAAGTCACCCAAGAGAGTGGAAGGACCTGGAAATAGAGAACACTTCAGGGAATGAGAGCATCCTTTAGCCCTCAAAAGGAGGTCGTGGAAAACAGATGAGTTGGATGGTCCCAGAGAGCAAACACACACTGAGGGGAGAAGCCCACGCCCAGGAGGAAGGCTTTGGGTGTGACTTTCTAACAGGAGGTGGTACAGGAGGGTGGCATGTATAGGCTGAGGAGGTGGGGACATTTGAATTTAAATTCTGGTTTCAGATGTTTCTATGCTATGTGATTTTTTTTTTAAATAAAGATTTGACTTTGAAATACTGTGAGATTTACAGAAAAGTTGCAAAGATTATAAAGAGAGTTTCATACCCCCCTCTCTGAGTTTTCCCTGTTGTCAATAGCTTACATTACCATGGTACAGTCGTCAAAACCAAGAAACCAACATTGGTACGTGACTATTAACTGAACTCCCAACTTTATTCAGATTTCACCAGATTTTCCACTAATGTCCTTTTTCTGTTCCAGGATCCAATTCAGGAACCCACACTGCATTTGGTCGTCACATCTCCTTAGTCTCCTCTGGTCTGTGACAGCTTCTCAGTCTTTCCTTTGCTTTTCATGACCTTGACAATTTTGAGAAGTTCTGGTCAGTATTTCCTCAGACTGTCCCTCCATTTGGGTTTATCTGATGTTTTTCTCATGACTAGAAAGGAATTATGGGTTTGGGGAGGAAAATACCGCAGAGGCAAAGCGCCCTTTTCATCACGTGATCTCGGGAGGCATGTGACTTATTACTGGTGATGCTAATCTTGATTACATGGTTGAGCTGTAGCAAGTGGAGCCCACACTCAAGTGGGAGTGATGGGGTGGAGGTACGTTCCTCCTCCTAGAGGATGTATCTACGTATAATATTTAGAATTCTTCTGTAAGGAAGATTTTTTCCTACTCCCCTCCCCCCCATTTATTTAATCACTCATTTATTTCTATCCCCATGGACCCATGCATTCGTTTATCTTATCCTTTGGGTTATAATTAAAAACTGAGGTATTTATTTTGCTGTTCAAATAGTTCTAGTTTTGACCATTGGGAGCTCTTTCAGATTAGCTCCTGTGTCTTTTTGACAACCCCCCCCCCCGCCCCGCACACACACACACACACATCCATTCTTACAGAGTCAGTAAACTAATTAAAGACCCTGTGGTTAACGTCTTCAATCCCCCTGTGGATGCCCAAGAAAGAATTTGGTTTGTTCCCACTTTATACATTTTGCTGTTCAAATAGTTCTAGTTTTGACCATAGGGAGCTCTTTCAGATTAGTTCCTGTGTCTTTTTGACACCCCCCCCACACACATCCATTCTTTTAATTTTCGAGCATTTCCTTACTTTCTGGCATTGTAAGATGCCCCAGGCTCATCTTGTATTTTCCCTGCCTCAGAGCTGGAATCAGCCATTTCTCTAAGGAGTGTGGTTCCTTTTATTGGAGGATAGAGTTTAGGGACCCAGCTCTGGGTGCTCGGTGTGCTTATTGCTATTGAGGTATCACTGCTTCTAAGCCCTCCCATCAAACAGAGGTGAGAAATAGGTGTGTGTGTGTGTGTGTGTGTGTGTGCACATATCATGTGATTTTAAGCAAGACAATGGCTCTAAGCCTCAGTTTCCACATCTGCAAAATGGGGATGGTGATAACTTCATAGGCCACTGTGAAATAAAGTATATAAGGCTGAATAGTGCCTGGCCCATTAGAAGTTGCAAAAAATGGTGGCTTTTATTGCGTTAGAGCTGCATAGCCGGAGCATGGGGGTCTTTGTGAGATTGAAAGGCTTCCGTCCCTTGAGGATTGAAGGAACTCAGAAAGTCCAAGAAGGGGATGCATGCACTGAGTGGAGACCAAAGGGCCCCTGTGCTTCTTCCAGTGCTGAATCTGCATGGAGAGAGCCAAGGTTGGCACAGATTGGCAAAGCAGAGGAGACAAGCTTTCCTGCCTTTGACCTGCCCTGGCACATCTGGATTTTGGCTGACACCTGAGTCTGGGCTAGACTCCTGGGGGCTGGAGTTGGGAGGCGGCTGGTTTTGGGGTCATGTTGCCAGGCAGGGAGACCAGGGCTGGACAAGGTGCACCAGGCCCACTTTCCTCATTCCCCACCTGCCCAGGAGGTAGATCCACGCAAAGCATGTTGGGAGAGCCGCTCTCTCAGTGGTACCTTCCTCTGCCCAGTAGGCCCTGCTCTGTGTCTGGCCTTGGCCAAGGACCCAGGGCCCTGCCCCTGCTTGCTGCAGGAGGAGGAGAAAGGTGGGGTGGTTTTGGACAAAACAGGAGATAGGGCGGGCACATTGGGGGCAGGGGTTTTGGCCCCAGAGGCTGTCTGCTCAGCCAGTCTCCAAACCATATAACTTCAGGAACCCATCTCAATGGCTTCCTGCAACCCCCTCTCCACCCAGTGCCAACCCCCTTCTCTGTATTCTGAGGGGACCCTGCTGTACTCTCCCCTACTCCCAATAGTCCTCATACTTCAAATCTGTTGTTTAGATTTTATCCTGAAATGAAACTTAAAAATGTCTTATTCAATTGTTCACTTTCAGGGCACCCTGAGGTTATAGTAAGAACCAGGAGCCCCAGCTTTAGCCCCAGCAAGCACCCCCATCTGGGGCTCCAGCTGAGATAGTCACTCGTTTCTTTGTTGATTCCTTCCTCCTACCCTCCTTCCTTCTTCCTCGCCTCTTCTTCCTCCCCTCCCCCTCTTCTCCTTTCCAATCCCTTTCATTGTGTCTCCTATGGGTCAGAGGACGCAGGCAGAATCTTCTCACCCTAATAGGTGAGAGAGACAAGTGAACAGATGAAATGCAGGGGCCCCCAGACAGTCTTGAGAGTGGCGAGCATGTGGGGCAGCAGGAACTCTCCTGTACTGTTGGCTGGGTGTAAATTGGCACAACTGCTTTGGAAAACAATTTGGCTGCAGCTGCCAAAGCTGAGTATATGCCCACCCAGCGAGTCCACTTCCTTCTTTGGAAGTAGACCAACAGAAATGTGTACGTATGCACCCCAAAAGATGCGAACTAGATTGTTCTGAGCAGTACTATGCATTAATTGCCAAAATACTAGAAATTACCCAAATGATCATCAGTGCTAAAATGAGAAAACTGTGGTCTACTTACACAGGGGAACACTACACAGTAATGAGGATAAACCATCAGACCGTGTGAGGACGTGGATGAATCTACACATAATGTGAGAGAAGCCGGGTGCAAAAGAGGGCTCCCCAGATTATCGTATTTGCAGAGTACAAACACAGGCCAAAGGAACTGATGAGTAGAGGTCAGGATGGGGCACCCTGAGGAGTAGTAACTGGTAGGGGAGGAGTCTGACAATGCTGTTTACACAAAGCTGTTCATTCTGGGACAATCCACTGAGCTGCACACTTAAAGTTGTGTACTTTTATGCATGTGAGTTATACTTCAACAGAAACTTTACTCAGTAGCCTGGTGAGAGAACCCTGGGGCCAGGGATGGGTAAATAAGGGAGCAGCCAGCTCTCACGGGGCAGGCTTTCTGCAGGCAGTAGCACCCAAGCTACATCCTGAGAGCTGGAATGGAGGTGGTAGGACAGGGACGTGGCCAAGCAGAGACCCAGGATCTGCCTCCTCTGGGAACCAGCCATGTAACAAGAAGAAACAGAGGAGTCAGCACTCAACCAACCCCTTGACCTGAACTTGACCTTGGCCTGCTTCTGTTCTTCCATGACGGAGGGCCCAAGGACCCTTTTTGCTCCAATCTTTTTTCTAGCTTTTGACGGAGAATCCCCTTTTGAGCCCAGCAGAGCTTAGCTGTGAGTTATAACCTCCCAGGCTTAGGGATCTATGTGGCTAGAAAATGATCCTTTCTT